CCAAGATATTCAAAGTTTTTCACCTTTAAATGAGCAGCTCGATTTAACAGATAAGGTATATCAAAATTATTTATATTATAGCCTGTTAATATATCCGGGTCAATTTCCCGCACAAAACTCGACCAGGCATCTAGTAGTTCAGTCTCTTTGGGAAAACAGCGAACATCGGAACCAACGATGGGCGCACATTTGTTCAAGGTAAATACGTTTCTTATAAACGGCTCTGGGTCGCCCTGCCGTATTACCATGTTTGCAATCTGTATAACTGGATCCATTTTGGCTTCGGGAAAAATTCCTTTGCGACCAGCGCACTCAATGTCAAAAGAGAGAATGCGAAAAGGTGCCACTTTTGCCCATTCTCCTTCGGGGTCATGTGATACGAACTTGTCATACGCCACATCTACTTCGATTTGGCAACGTGACTCAGGTAAAGGTTTTGAATTTTTGTCCCGAATACGCCAAGTCCCTGCAGGTAGCTCAATCCAGTTACAACCCACTACATGTGTGTCTACCATAAATCGTATATCAAAATCGATATTGCTCTCGAAGGCACGGCAATCCTGAAAATCAAAATCAGACAACACTATCTGATTGGAAAGTAGACGCACAGATGCTGCCACCAATTTAGGCATTGTTACTGTTATCTTTATATAACGCTGCAGCGCGTCGCCCTGATAACCAAAAATGTTTAGACGTTCTACAAGCTCAACTTTTAGCACAGCTTCCTGCACGTTATTCTTGTTACTGCGCATATCGGCCAGTACTTTTTTGTCTAAAGCTTCACGCAAAGCATGGCAATGATTACGTTCGAAACTGCGAGGTGCCGCAATGTAGAAATATGGACAAAAACCATGCACATGGCAACACACTGAGTTGCCCTCCATAGTAATACCAAACATACGTATTGTTGGTACTGGTCCTATTTGCGCTCCGGGCATGCCTGGCAAAGGTTCGCCCAAATAATTTTCAATGTCAATCTGCTGAAATACTAATTCATCGGAAGAAGGATCCAGCTTAGGTGGATCAACACGAGACCATTTCACCGAGGTTTGTTGATTTTCTGGCCCTTCGCCTACTAAGATGCTTGGATCAACATCTTCACCAAAGGCGTCACCCGCTATATCAGCATCCATGCCATCGAAGTCATCATCCTCTTCATCGTTCCTAAAGAAAAATACAAAATTTTCAATGGAATACTTCCGTAAGCAGCATCAACAAACCATTGTTTTTGCTGTTTTCCTCCTGCTGCTTGACCATTTTTTGCAATATTCCCGTTCGCTGGATATTTTCGTTTACCGGAAAACCCACTCATTTTGAACAAAAGTATCGTCCAAAGAAGATATTTTTCAGTGTCCACCAAAATGTGTGTCAAGAAGATTGCGCGCCTTGTTTTCGCTAGACTTGTTGATAATTTATCGATAGCTTTATCGAAAATATTGCTCGATATAAAAAGCAAATCTTTGAAAAAATATATTTATCAACAACGATAATTTTAATGATTTAGTCGATGAATTTGTTCAAATTGTAATGTCCAAGGCGCTTCTATACAAGGTGGTGTTCATTACGAGTTTCAGCGAATCCCCTAATTGAAAACTTGGTGAGCTGCAATTAACTTTATTTCAGAGACCATAACGATTATAAGAAATAAAATTAAATATTGTGCATTCAGTAAATGTTATTACTGAAGAATGGAAAAGTTGTTTTCGTCTCCAGAGACAAAATCGGTTTCTGCAAAGAACGTAAATCTATAAGTAGGGAGAACACGTTATAATTGTAGCGAGTGTTAATATCAGGAGCGTGCCTTCTCTTTTGCCCAAATACGTTCCTAGATTGGATGAAAAGAGAAGGCACGCTCCAGATGTTTACACTCCCTACAATTATAACGTGTTGTCTACTCTTATAGATTTACGTTCTTTGGTTTCTGCAATCAATAATGTTTTCAACCCGCCCAAGTTTCCAACCATAACATTGGCTTCATCATTGGCCAAACCAGTTAGGTTTCTCATCTTTAAAGCAGGGATTGGCAAATGTTTAAAAGGTACAATGGCAAATATTTATAAGCAAAGTGATGTTTGAAATATATTTACATTGAGATTTTTTTACATTAATTACATAGCTGTACATATCGAAAGAAAGGTCCTTCAATCCGCAGTAACAACACTGCCGCAAACTCAAATCGATTAAAGATCGATAGCACGCACATTTGACAGCCGGTTCGCAGTGATACCAACGTGACGCTGACGTTTACAAATACTTCAATGGCAGCCATTGAATTTTCTTTTCGCGTCTACTTTGCAAAAAAGTTTTTGTGTGTGTGCTCTGAAAAAGTGGAAAATTCACTAATTTGAACCATAAAAAGTAAGGAAAATTATGTGCGTGCGCACACCGTGAATGATGCTTCACAAATGAGTGTATAGACTTGTGGAAAGTTTGTGTTTTTTCCGTAAAATAAAGTAGAAAAATCCGTACGCAACCTCAATTGATTTTGTATTGGTATTTCTCACACCAATTTAAAAAAACAAGGTATTAATCGGACTTTTCTGTGTCTATTCATAATCAACTACCTTAAAAGGGTGAATATGACTTCACCCTCACCGGCGAACAGCCCTATGCCGCCGCCTCAGGTGCCGCCTGCTCAAAGTCCCTCACCATCGCCGCACAGCCCATATCCGCATCAACAAATGACTCAAGGGCCACAAGGTCCGCAAGGACCTTCCGTGGCAGGACCGCCTGGACCGCCCCATGGCCCACCGCAGCAATCGCATATGCAAGCACCACCGCAACATAGTCAACATGGTCCATTACCGCCGGGTGGTCATCATGGCGCACCACCGCCACCCGGACATCCTGGCGGACCATATACTCATCCAATGCAACATGCTCCACCACATGGCTCTCCACATGGACCTCCGCAACACCAACAACACGGTGCAATGCCGCCAGGACAGCATGGTGTAGGCCAGCATGGCCCACCACCTCATGGCCAACAGCCACCCGGTCAGCACGGCCCTCCACCACCGGGTAGTGGAGGTGCTCCAGTAAATGGACCACCAATGTCTCATGCACCACCACCACACGGCGTACCACCGCCTCACGGACCACCGGGACCGCAGCAGCAACCGGGTGTGCAAGGGGCACCGCCGCCGCATATGAATGGGCCACCAGTACAAGGACCGCCTGGACAACCGGGTCCACCCCCACAAGGACATCACATGCCACCGCATCATCAAGGCATGGGTTCGTAATTTGATTTATTAATAAGTATTTTCCAAATATAATGTAAACATATTTCTGTAGGTCCACATATGGGTATGCAAATGCCGCCACAAGGACCCAACATGCCACCAATGGGCTACCAAAGTCATGGAATGCCGCCAAATGTAAGTTTTAAAATATTTTATTTTAATAAAATTGCAATACTTTGAAGCTAATGCCGATTTCGTTTCTACCGAAAAATGCAACCTTCTCCTTGCCCTCTAGGCACAAACACTAAAAAGAGGGCGATGAGAAGGCCAAATGTTTTGTAGAAACGAAATCGCCATAAAGTAAAATTTATAAATAATTATTTAAACGTGAAATGTGTCAAAGCATCGGCCTCATCAATCAAACCGACCATAACCTTTGCCAACTCTGGTGTAGCTGCCGCTATCAAGTTAGGCTTCATTATTTGAAATTCACCACCTTTAGTGTGATAGAGATCACCGCCGGCTTCACGTAATATAACTGCACCACCTGCTATATCCCAAGGTTGTAGATCTTCCACATGATAACAATCAAAGCTACCGCGAGCGACGTAACAGAGCGTCAATGCTGCGCTGCCAATGCAACGAGAACTGTAAACAGAAAAAAATTAATTAGGGGGTTTGTTAGCGTATTAATTAGACTTTGTGTACACCCCAAACTATTAGCAGCAAGTTTCGAAAAACGTTTAACGTTTTTATCACGTACTAAAGGTGCGTGGACGAGCGAGATTTCATAAGCTAAAACGGCATGGTTCATCTGAAATGATATTGAATCTATTAGAACTTTTACTCCTTAAACATTATGCCGTATGAATATGTAGAGATAATGAAAAAATTTTACATTTTGTTTTGGGGTAAATTTGAAGTAAATGTATTTTGAATTGATGAGAAACACAATGCATTTGCGAAATGGCCCATCGACCTAAAAATGATAAAATTGTTATTCCAACAACAAATTTGTAAGTGTTGTAAGATGAATAACCGTCTCTCGGATCAACAGCCTTAAGAAAAAAGTTTCCTCGCTCTCCTGTAAAATTTGAGCGCCGTAGGCGGTTTTCCAACTCGTCGATGTGCGGTTTGTAAAAATTTATAATGGTATCTGTCAAGATATCAGAGCAAGGAGGCTTAATAGATCTGGTCGCAGTGCACACCTCAGTTAATATGTATCTATGTACATAGCTAAATGAAAGTAGATTATTTTTTTTTACTGTACATTTAAGTTATCATTGGCTTTTGAAATATTTCTTCTTTAAGTGTGTATGAACTAAAATTGTGGAGTTTATGAACTAAAGGTGGGCAGGGTAGTATACAACAAGTACTCGCAGATTATCCAATTTGACGAAATCAACTGTTTAAAAAGTAAATATTTGCAGTATTAATCGCCCTCGCAGCGAAATATGATCTTATCTCGCATTGTAGTAATCTCTCTAGGTAAATTTGCCCAGCATTCGTAGTAAAAAAATTGTGAAACCATTTATAAATTCAACGACTTGATAAAATACTGCGCGAGCAATGAAAAATAATTACTTCTTAATGCAGACATTTAGTTTGACATCAGTCTTTTTTTTTGCACTTTTTTGTATGAGATTGTAAAAAATGTCACTCCTTCCCTGTTAACAGGCTAAAAATCCTACAAATTTTGGAAGATAAATGTGTGTTGTCCTGATAGTTAATCCTAGCCCTTCAATAAAGGCTTTAATGTGAAGTTTTCTTATATATGGTTTTATTGGTGACCCAGCATATCCTGTAGTTCGGGAGTGGGCTGAGGTGGTGGCTTTTGGATAATTTTTCTCTTGTTGTTTTTGTTGTAATAGCATATAAATTCCCCAAAGACTTTTTGTTCTTGGCCAGATATTGATCTGGGTCGTTCCCTACTGTTGTGGGTCTTGTGATAGTCCTTGGCTACATATCTGGGTCATTCGAGAACGTAGGTCCTACTATAACAAGAGCGAAATAGCTACAGGGAGTTGTTGTTCCGGTCAATGAACGAAATGACTTAAGAAAAACTTTGCTTATTTTACCCTACCTCATTTTTTTTTACGACTTGTTATTGTTTTGAAAGTGTTAAAGGGTGAAAATTTTTTGCTGGTAATGTATACAAAAACATCGTTTAACTGTTCTATTATTCTACCTATTCGATTGTTGGTGTAAAATATATGTTTGGTGTTTTTTCTTTTATCGATATTTGCTGATTGTTTTCGTTTGGTGAAATGCGGTATCAATACATTCTAAATGATAACAGCCGCTATATTTTTAATTACTATTCCTAAAACTGATCAGCTGGATTTTCGAATATATGTACATAAGTATGCACATACATATATACAGTTGCTATGTGCTCAAAAATAAAATACTCACTTTGGTACAATTCTTAACACGAATACGTTGTCCATTCAAATAAGCGCCGTGTCCCTTCCACGCTGAGTACATTTCATTTGCAATCGGATTATACACAATACCCACTACCAATTCCTTATTTAGAGCCAAACCGACCGATATACACCAATATGGTATGCGATGTATAAAATTTGTTGTACCATCTATTGGATCAATAATCCATGTGGGCGCATCAGTCAACTCTGGCATTTTACCACTTTCGGCTACAGCTTCCTCACCAATAAATTTCGATTCTGGAAAAGCTTTGCTTAAACCCTCAACGAGTATATCTTCAATATCTTTGTCATATTTAGTGACTAAATCAAAAAATGCTGCTTTTTGTTTAAAATCCGCATTAGCATTGCTATAACCTTCACGTACTAGTGGACCACATTTCATTACCAATTCTAAAGCTACATTATAATAGTTACGTATACTCGTATCGTCACTTGTGTTTGGCATTTTTGTTGTTATTGTTCGTTTAGGGCGAGCAAATGCGGTCAGTGGATAGACAAAGTGAGTTTGGAAGTAACGTCTGAGGCTCCCTACCGGCGAATGGAAGGCGTTGGTGGTGTTGCTGGTGGTGACTGCAGTGTGTTTTGTTATTCCACTATGCTCGCTTTGCTTAAAATTTGTTATGCTTCTATTTATTGTTGCTGTGATTACTATTCTTGCTGTGCTTTTACTGAGTACGTTCTTATTACAAAGATGAATCGCCAACCACTGATTCCGTAGCGGAAGCATTTTTATATAAATTGCGGTTGCTCGTCGTAAAATTTGAGATGAGTGTAATGCAGAGTGCGAGCGTGTGAGAAGAAAATAAGAAAAACTTAAGCTTTTAGAGCGCTAACAAGAGTCTTTACTAACTCTTTTGTTCGCAAACAAAATTTTGTGAACTGGCGTTTTTTATTCTGAGTTTGAATGTGTATGCGATTTTTTTTATCACGCTC